TTGAGATGTAAACCTTACAAAAGAAGTGAAATATCCAGCCTGGCATACACACTAATAGTTGAGGCAGTAAAGGAGGCTAAGGCAGAGTTGCTAATTGAGATTAGACTAGATAAAATTATCAAGATATTGTCTCAGAATAAAAAATAAAACAAAGTTCTGGGCCTATACATTAAGGGTAGAATGCCCTTGGATTCAGTCTCCAGTACTAGAAATAAATAAATGAATAAATAAGGAAATTTGCAGATGAAATATATTGAAAATAATTTATAATGCTTCAGACTGTATTATTGCTTTCAAGATATACATAAGTATTTTGGGCCTGGGATTTAGCTCAGTGGTGCTGGCGCCTGCCTGGCAAGTGCAAAGTCCTGAGTTCCGTCCCTGGTACAAAAAAACAAAAGAAGTACATAAGTATGTTATAGAGTCATATTAAGTAATTTTTAAAATTTTGGGCTGAAGAATCCATTTTTAGTTATCAGACAGTTTCAAATCATTACCTTAATATGATGTTGATTTTTTTTCAATAGCCAGCAGTTGCACTCCCTACAAGCCTTAGCCTGTCTACTCCTCAGCCTGCAGCACAGATAACTGTATCCTACCCAACACCAAGATCCAGTCAACAACAGACCCAACCTCAGAAGCAACGTGTTTTCACGGGAGTTGTTACAAAGCTACATGATACCTTTGGATTTGTGGATGAGGATGTATTCTTTCAGCTTAGGTAAACTTCATCAGCTGTTGGCAGAAAGTTTCTTGAATTTAGAATAAAGTATTTGCTTAATGACAAAGACTGTAATTTTCTACTTTCTCTCCTCTCTCTCTTTCTTTCTTTTTTTTTAATTGAGAATTGACCCCAGGGCCTTTGTTTTGTTTTGTTTTTTGTTTTTGAGACAGGGTCTCACTATGTAGGTGAGACTGCCCTGGAACTCACTATGTAGCCCAGACTGGTCTCAACTCACAGCGATCCTCCTGCCTTAGCCTCCTGAGTGCTAGAATTATAGGTGTGCACCACCATGCCCAGCTATTCTGGGCCTTTGAACTGAGCTACTACATACACTATACCCAACTGTTTTTACTTTTCATTTTGCTAAGTTGCCCCGACTGGACCTGAACTTTTCCGTCTTCTTGCCTCAGGCCTCCCAGAGTGCTCTGACGTCAGATGTGCTCTCCACACACATCTGACCCATTTGCTGTTTAATCAGTTAGATTATATTTGTACTTTTTTTTTTTTTTAACCAAGAATTGCCCTCAGGGCCTCCCACTTGCCAGGCAGTTTACCTGTTATTTGATGGAGAATGTGATTAAAAATACCTTGATTATTACTGAAATTATTTTTATTTTCGGGATCTCTTTTTTGGGGGGCAGGAATTGAACTCAGGGCCTCACGCTTGACAGGCAGACACTGTGCCACTGAGATACATCCCTGACTAAACATACCTTGGTTATTAAAGTAATCATGGTCAATTCTTTATAAATGTTTTATTGCATTTAGGTGGCATATCTAAGAAGAGTCATTCATGTACCGACTGAGACAAATAGTTCTAATACATGCCTTTTAAAATCTAATCTGTTTGATGTCAAGATTCGTTCTTGGACAGACTGAGATAAATGGTTCTAATACATGCCTTTTATCTACCTTTTTTTTTTTTTTTTTTTTTTTTTTTTTTTTTTTTTGAATGAGGATCGAACTCTGGTCCTTGTGCCTGCAAGTCACGTGGTGGAACCACTGAGCTAAATCCCAGGCCCAATACATGTCTTTTAAATCTAATCTGTTTGATATCTGTAATAATATAATCAAAGTTTTTTAATTGAAAAATTAATAGGATCAAATTATTAATAAACTGACTTTTTTTGGTACTGGGAATTGAACTTGGGACATTGAGCTTATGAAGCAGGTGGTGGCACCACTGAGCTAAATCCCCAGCCCAACACACTAATATTAATGATAGTTCTTTGATGTTTGTGGTGGTTATAGGAAATGAAAATTTCTTCAGAAATTTCAGTTTTGTTTGTTTTTTTGAAAACAGGACCTCACTGTGCATCAGTCTGGTCTCTATGTAGCTGAGCATGGTGGTGCATCCCAGGACTTGGAAAGCTGAGAGGCAGGAGGATCGCTGCAATTTGGAGGCCAGCCTGGGCTACAATAGTGAGTTCAAGGCCAGATTGAACTATGTAGTGAGACCCTGTCTTGCCAAAATAACAAGAAAGGAAGGAAGGAAGGAAAGAAAGAAAAAACAACAAAACTCACTGAAGCGGAGGCTGGCCTTGACCTCTCGATCCTCTTGCTACAGCCTCTGAGTTCTGGGATTGCAGACATATTTCTAGTATTTCTGGTGAGCTTCCTTAAGAAGTACTATATTTGGGAAATTACCATACAAGATTTTTCGGTAATTTAAGTTTCCAGGGTGTTTTTTTTCCCCCGTTTGTCTTTTTCTTTGAATGCCCAAAGTGAATTTAACTCATTATATCAGAAAGTTGTTTATACAAGTAAGCATAGTACTAGGAGAATATGAGGAGGTAGTAAGTCATCTTTTGTGCTTCTTACTGTGGGTTTGCTTAGGCGTGATGGCAAATTACTATAATCTCAGCTACTGGGAAAGCTGAGTCAGGAGGGTCATAATTTTGAGGCCAGCCTAGGCAATTCAGCAAGACCTGTCTCAAAAAAATAAAAAGTGCTGGGGATTTGGCTCAGTGGTGCCATGCCTGCCTCAAAAGCACTAGGTCCTGAGTTCAGTCCCTGGTACCAGGAAAAAAACAAAGCTGGGAATAGTAGCACTTAGCATGTAAAAAGCTGTGAGTTTTATCCTTGGTATTCCTCAAAAAAAGAAAAAAACAGCTGTTCACATACAGAGTTTATATGATCATTTCCAAATGAGTCTGGAACTGTTTATCTAGTTTTGAAAAGCTCTCCAGACTTCCATTTCAGGTATTATAGTATACTTTATTATTTTCTTTTTTCAGTAGCAGAAATTGAACTCAAGGCCTCAAGCTTGACAGGCAGGTGCTGTGCTTTGCTTTTCCTTTCTTTTTTTTTTTCTGGTAATGGAGATTCAACTCTGGGCAGTTGCAGCACTGCTGAGCTACATCCCTGGCCTAAAGATCTTTTTGGGGAGTCACTTTAAATTATGTATAAATCTTTTGGGGGGTGATCTCTTTTACTTGTGTTTATATTTAACTTATACTTTTTTTTCAGTGCTGTCAAAGGAAAAACTCCCCAAGTGGGTGATCGAGTATTGGTTGAAGCTACTTATAATCCTAATATGCCTTTTAAATGGAATGCTCAAAGAATTCAAACACTACCAAATCAGGTACAGTTTTGAATTAAGATATTATAGAAGTGTTATAATTGAGTTATTCACTATGGATTTTCCTTCTTTAAAATTTTTATTACTGAAAAAAATTTTAAATTTCTTTTATATTAAGAATCAGTCCCAAACCCAACCTTTACTGAAGACTCCTCCTGCTGTACTTCAGCCAATCGCACCACAGACAACGTTTGGTGTTCAGGCTCAGCCCCAGCCTCAGTCCCTGCTGCAGGCACAGATTTCAGCAGCTTCTCTTACACCACTGCTACAGACGCAACCACAGCCCTTACTCCAGCAACCGCAGCAGAAGGGTATGATACACGTTACCTGTGCTTGTTGTTTTAACCTAGGGTTGTTAGCTGATGGTGGTTTTGTCCTGTCTTTTCTTTTTGTGGTACTGAAGATTGAACCCTGGGCCTCACACATGCTAGACAAGTGCTCTACCATTTCACTTCTACATCCCCAGCAAGTGTACTTTTCATTACAAGAGTCAGGGACTTAGAGAAAACATGAAAGGGAATTTAAAGATCCTGAGTAGAATGGCTTATACTTCTGTAAGCTATATGGAAGTATTTTTTAAAATTAACTTTAGTGATAAAAATAAGCTCAGTGATGAACACCTGTAATCCCAGTATTTGGGAGTCTGGCTGAGGCAGAATTGACACAAGTTCAAGGCCAGCCTGAATTACTGTTCAAGACCTCTCAAAAAAAACCCAAAAACTCACTGAATACAAAATTCTTTTGAATTAAATAAATCTTTGTGGATTTAAATACCAAATCTATTAACAACCCCCACACACACACCATGTTGTGTTGTTTTGTTAGTTCAGGCTGGTTTTGGGCTCACAGCAGTCCCCTGCCTCTGCCTCCTAGGTGCTGGAATTATAGGCCTACATCACACAAATCCATGCACACACACACCATTGGTACATTTATTGGAGAAATCTTTTTGAGACTTCTTATGAACATACCTGGAATATTTAACATACACAAAGAATTTGGTGGTAGACCTTTAAATTACTCATTGAACCATAGTAAATGAAATGAATAAGCTGAGCTTTAAATTTTCCTTTGCAAACTGGGCGTGGTGGCGCATGCCTGTAATCCCAGCACTTGGGAGGCTGAGACAGGACGATCACTGTGAGTTCGAGACCAGCCTGGGCTACACAGTGAGTTCCAGGTTAGTCTCAACTACATAACATAGTGAGACCCTGTCTCAAAGAAAAAAAAAATCCACAAAACTAATCACTTTGCAAAGGGGAAAATTTTATTTATTTATTTACTTACTTACTTACTTACTTACTTGGTTTTTTTGAGACAGGGTCTCTCACTATGTAGTTGAGACTGACCTGGAACTCACTATGTAGCCCAGCCTGGTCTCGAACTCACAGTGATCCTCTTGTTTTAGCCTCCCAAGTGCTGGGATTACAGGTGTGCGCCACCACGCCCAGCTTTCTGGATATTTTCTTAGAGACACTATTTAAAATAATAGCCTTGTCTAAAAGAAGCCTATCTAACTGGCATTTTCAGAAATTGTGACATTTTCTTTTAGTGTGAATTAATGACACTTATCAATATGATAGAAAACATTACTCATTAAGTAGTGGGACGTAGCAAAGTAATAAAGCAGATTACAAGTAATCACTGTTCAGGTAAAAAAAAATACAACATTGTAGCTGGCTGTGTTGGCACACGCCTATAATCCCAGCACTCAGGAGGCTGAGGCAGGAGGATCTTCTTGAGTTTGCATCCAGCCTGGGCTGCATACTTTATAAAAAGACATTTACTCTATGCATCATTGTACAATTTGGCCATATAAGTCTAGTTCTACTCATTTTCTTGATTTCATAGTACTTCATTGGATGGGTATTGCACAGTGCTCTGTTCTACCTTGTTAAACATTTTGACCGTTTCTAGTTTGTAGTTTGTGAAAACAGTACTAAGGATATTTTCATGTGTCTAAGAACAGTGTGTGCTACACACACTTAAGGGGATAATACCAGAAAAGAGCATTTGTAGAACTACTTAGCTCTTTCCTGCTATCTTACATTCAGTTCTGTGATTTCCTTTTTTGTTTTTTTCCTTCCTCAAGTTTTTCCTTTTTTAAAAAAAAAATTTTATTTAAGGAACATCATATGTAATTTCTTAAGTACTCAACAAGGTCAATTTAATGAGGTTCTTTGTCTTCAAGATAGCCCTTTTTAAAAGAACTGATGTTTAATCCAGTCATCCTGTCTGCCCACAATTCTTTCTTTCTTTCTTTTTGAGACAGGGTTTCACTAGGTGGTTGAGACTGACCTGGAACTCACTGTGTAGACCAGGCTGGCCTCGAACTCACAGCAGTCTTCCTGCCTCAGCCTCCCGAGTGCTGGGTTTACAGATGTGCACCACCATGCCCGGCTGCCCACAATTCTGTCTCCACTTGATTTATGGACAGTGACAACTTCAAAACTCCTTGGATCTTATATGCAAATTTCTTCCAGTAATTTATGCTTTAGGAGCCTAGAATTTGAATTGTAAATAGTGCTGGTATTTTGGCACGTGACATAGATTTCTTGGTCATTCATTTCTAATATTAAAAAAATCAACATTTTTCATTATTCTGTAGCAAAACGTTATAGGTCTCTTTGTCACCACTGTTAGTTGTTTACTGTGGTGGAAGCATGATCTTTGTATCAGTTTAAGCCACAGTGCCCAATTTGGGACACCAGTCAACAGTGCCCATTGTAATCAAGAATGAGGCTTTGTTACTCACATGGTTTTTAAAGAGATTTTGTTTTCTAATTGTGAATTAGGGTCTGATTTACATTTTCCTCCTGTCTTTTAGAAGATACAGCAAGGCATGGTGGCACACACCTGTATTCCAGCACTCAGGAAACTGAGGCAGGAGGGTCACCTAGAGTTTGAGGCCAGCCTGGCCTGCATAGTGAGTTTATGGACTGCCTCAACTACATAGTGAGACCCTGTCTCAAAAAAACAAACAAAGAAAAAAGGAAATATAGGAGGAGGACCTAAGGATGTAGCTCAGTAGTACACTGGGTGCCTAATATGCCTGGGACCCTGGGTTTGATCCTCAGTACTACCAGGAAAAAAACAAACCAGCCATGGAGCAGGACACCGTGGCTCTTAGGGAGACTAAGGCTGAATGATCAAATGTTTGAGTCTGCCCACCGAATTTAGTAAGAACCTGACTTAGAATGAAAGTAAAATTAAAAGGTCCAGAGATATACCTCAGTGGTAGAATGCCCTGGGTTCAATCCTTGGTAATGGGGGCGGGGGAGTTAATTGTAGGAGGTCCCCAGGAAGCAGTGTTTCTGGAACTGATCTGTCCCATCTTCTTGGTTATGATTAATATGAACAATGAAAGTAGTGTAAAAACTGTTAGGAAAAAAGTAAGTTAATACGGGTTTGATTTCAGTGGAGTTTAAGTATTCAGTTGATCATTTGCTGGGAGGATAGAGAATGTCTTTTAGTGACTAATACTTTCAGCAATGAAGGCCAGAAAGATGACTGAGGTAGTATTATTTAATATAAGAAACAGTTCTTTCCCCCATTCCCACTTATTTATTTGGTGCTAGTGATTGAACCCAGGATCTTGTGTGTGCTAAGCACATGGTCTGTCACTGAGCTAAACTTTAAAACCCCACACTCCTATTTGTTTTTCTCTTTTTAGTACTGAGGAGTGAAACTAGGGCCTTTGCACTGAACAATATAACATCCTTAGCCCTTTTGAAAATATTGAGACAGGTTTTCTGTATTTTCTGGACTTAAACTTTTGACCCTCCTGCTGTAGCCTTCTGAGGAACTGGTATTTAATATGTTGCCCGGCTGTCCTCTTCCTCTTCCCTTTCTTCGCCTCCCTTCCCTTGGCTTTCTTCTTACCTTCCTTTCTTTCTCTTCTCCTTCTTCCCCCCTTTCCCCTCCTTCCTTCATTTCTCTGTCTTTCCTTCCCCCTTTCTCTTCCTTCTTCCCTCCTTCCCTGTCTCCCTCTTTTATTTTATCTAGTACTGGGAATCAAACTGAGGACCTTTCACTTATGAGGCACACACAGTGTCACTGAGCTAAATCCCTGGCCTCTCCTTGTCTTCTTTTTTTTTTTTTTTGTACTGGGGATCAAACTCAGGCCCTTGGCTCTTGCAAGGAAGGCGATGAAACCACTAAGCCAAATGCCTGGCCCTACCAATAGATGATTTTATATTTTTTTTAAATTTCTTTATTATTGAGACAGGGCCTCACTGTGTAGTTGACGCTGCCCTGGAACTCGCTGTTTAGCCCAGGATGGTCTCAAATTCATGGCAATCTTCCTACCTCAGCCTCCCGAATGCTGGGATTAAAGGTGTGAGCCTCCACGCTGGCAATATATGATTTTAAATTTGCATTGTTTAAGGAAGGCATACCCGTACTATCTTAATTGGAAAATACTCATATTATTTCTAAATAAAATTTTTAGTATTAAATGTATAAATACTAAGAAGAGCTCATCAAAACAACTCCTAAAGCTGGGAATTTAGTGCAGTCGTGCCATAACTGCCTCACAAGTGCAAGGTCCTCAGTTTGATTCATAGTACCAGGAAAAAGAAAGGAAAAAATAAGAAAAGCAAAAACAACTGTTCTTCAAAATAATTTATATGTTATGTATGCTAACTTTGAAAAGGCAGTTTTACCAAGGCATGGTGGTACACACAAGTAATTCCAGCGCACAGAAGCAGGATCACCACTAGTTTGAAGTTAGCCTGGGCTATATAGTGAGACTCTGTCCTAAAAATCCAAAAAAACCAAACCAGTTTTAAGCATGGCATGATGGTGCTGTACCTGTAATGCCAGCACTCAGGAAGCTCAGGCAGGAAGATCACAACTTTGAGCCCAGATAATTTAGTGAGACTGTACCTCAAAATAAAATTTTAGGACATGTGTGTGTGACTCAGTTTGAGAGCCATGGTTTCAATCCCTAATTCTATCCCTGCCCAAAAAAAGAAAGAAAAGAGAAAAAGAAACAGCAATTTTAGTGAGTCCCAGTCATTTTATCTAGTTCAAATAGCTTTTAAACTTTTCTTTAAACAACTTTAAAAAATTTTTTTTCTGTATCTTTTTAAGCTGGTTTGTTGCAGCCTCCTGTTCGTATCGTTTCACAACCCCAGCCAGCACGAAGGTTAGATCCACCATCTAGATTTTCGGGACGGAATGACAGAGGGGATCAAGTACCTAATAGAAAAGATGACCGAAGGTATGTTGTAAAATGCACTGTTGATAGTGGTGATTGCACACAGACACACACACACACACAAAATCAAATGTACTTAATATCACTGATCTTAAATGCACTTAAAAATGGTTAAAAGGATCTGGGTGTGGTGGTTCATGCCTGTAATTCCAGCATTTGAAAGACTGAAGTAGATCAGATCACTGCTAGTTGGAGGCCAGCCTGAAGTATATAGCCAGCCTGTGATTCAAAAACAGTTAAAAGGTAAATTTTATTTTCATGTATTTTACGCCTTTTCATTTCCTTTTTTTCTTTTTGCTGGCAGCCCTACGGTTTGAAACCAGGGCTTTTAAACTGACCTATATTCCCAGCCCCTTTTAATTTTCTTAGTTTTGTTACAGGGACTTGTTTTGTTTTTGCTTTATAGGGGATTTTTTTTTGTTTTTTGTTTTTTGTTTTTCGGTATTGGGGATCAAACTTAGTACCTTGCCCTTGAGAAGCCGGTGCGGTGCCACTGGGCTAAATCTCCAGTTCTGTTATAGGGTTTTGCCAAGTTACTAAGTTGCCCAGGTTGAGCTCAAACATTTGATCCTCCTGTCTCAGCCTCCTAGAGTGCTGGGATTACAGGTGTGCACTACTACCCCTGGTTTTGACACCACGATTTTTAAGAAGTTAATCAGTTATACTGTGGAATTTTGCTTAAATTATCTATTTGTTTTTTTAAAGAACTCTACCTTAATGCCAAAAATATAGTAATGTTAGAAAAATTTGCTTTAAGTCGTGAGAGAGAGAGAGAAAGACGTAGATCCAGAGAAAGATCACCTCAGAGGAAGCGATCCCGGGAGCGATCTCCCCGAAGAGAGAGAGAACGATCACCTCGGAGAGTTCGACGTGTTGTTCCACGTTATACTGTGCAGTTTTCCAAGTTTTCTTTAGATTGGTAGGTGGTTCTATATTTCCTCCTATTGTTTTATTGAATTATTAATTTCATAATTCTGTATGGTTTGGTGTAGAGTATGGGTCATGGGTGTTTTCTTATAAAATTCATTCACAGATATTTATTGCTCTCTAAAGCCATAAATGCAATTTGAAATTTTTATTTGTATACACTCATTTAGGGTACCAACCACTGAAAAGGGAAGCCCTAGAGGAAATTCCTTTGTGATAAAAAAATTGTTCTTAAAGTTGGCATCATTAAGATGCAGATAATTGTGATAAACTCTTAAGTTCATGAATAATCTATTAAATGGGATGAGGCAGTAATACAGCTTGAACCAGTTAAGTTTTAACTGTGTCAATATAGTACAAACATAGACTTATGAAGATATTCAGAACTATGTAATACACACACGTGTCTATGTATGACTCTAATTACATTATTGAGCTTTTGGAATTAGTGGGTAAGGGTCAGGTTACCAGGAATTTCTGAGCTTCATCACTAAACTTTCATAGGAACTTGCAGGATTAATGTGAGGCACATTCATATCTATAAAGCACTTAACCCAGTGTGTGGCAGTTAGAGGTTTCTCCATAATGAATAGTAGTAATGGGTTATGGTAGCAACCACTGTTAATAGTTTAATAGATGGATCCAAATTGATAGTAAAATAAGAAAAATCTTTAAAAGCAGTCTTAAAGCTCTTTAGCATTGGCCACATATAACTGCATTGTAGTGACGTGAGAAGATACTGCTATATTTCAACAAGAGCACAGTGTTAACATTGATAATGTTGGTCTAAAAAGTTAAAATTCCTATATATTGAGTTGTAGATCTAGCATACAAATGTATTTAAGCTACTTAATTCCAAAGAACATCTGCTAACTTTGCATAATTTTGTCTGCTTAATTATACCAACTGATGTTCATTTACTCTTGCTTGTGGTCAAATCAGCAAGTACTCTTTAATTTACAGGTTTTTTGTTATCTGTGTTTACTCTTATACTTATAAATACCTAATCTACATATTCTGTAAACATCCATTGAAGTCAAAATCACTTTCCCAGTTCCAAAGATATTAAATAGAGAAGCTCTGATTGTTTTTGTTGTTATCTTTATTGTTTTCACTTCTGGACCTTCACTGAGCTATGTTCTAGCTCTTTTTTATTTTGAAACAGGATCTTGGGTCTTTCTAAGTTGGCCAGGCTGGCCTCAGACTTTGAGTTTGAGCTGCTTTTCAGAATTCTGGGATTACAGGTGTGTGTTACCATGCCCAGCTGAGAAACTTTTTTAAGTCATTTGTTTTCAATATTTAAATGCTTTCTGGGAGGACTTGTTGTATAGAATATGAAATGAATAGCTCCTTCCAAATTAGACCCTTACGATTTCACCTTAACCACTGTGAAGTAAATTTCCAGAATATCAAATGGACTCATTGCAAATAAAAATCATTTTAAGGTTTTCATGCCCTTTCTCATCTGGAATTATTGAAATCAAGATTTCATTATATTAGCTGAAAGCAGTATAAGGCATGCTTCTGTGCTCCTAGTTCCTTGGAAAGCTGAGGTTATGAGGATTCTGAGTTTGAGGCCAACGTAGCAACACTTGCATCAAAAAACAAAACAAAACTTTTTTACATGATTGTAAGAACTTCTAGTATGCCCAAGTACTGCTTTATTTGTACTTATTTCTTCCCTTTTATTAAAAATTTTATTTCTGGGGTAAAAAATACAGTATTGGGAAACTATCACATACTTTTTTTCCTTAAAAACAAAACCCCAAAGTAGGTTTTTCCTGTTTTTATCTTTTTTTGTTGCAGAAATCCAGCTCAGGACCTTCCACTTGCAAACCTTTATCATTTTGATAGCAAAATCTTATCCCAAATAAAGTATAGTTATATCAACAACTACAATTAAAGTGTATGTATATTTCTTTAGTTTTTTGTTGTTGGAGGTTGAACCCAGGGACTTGTGTAATTTAGGCAAATGCTTTACTGAGCTAGCTGTGTCCCTCCCCTTTTTCATCCCTTCTTTCTGTCAGAGACATTGTGGTACATATAGTTCAGTCTTTTATTATTTTAAAGTTTTTTGTTTTTGTTTTTGATCTGTCGCCAGGTCTGTTTTGCAGTCAGGCTGGTCTTTAACTCATGAGATCAAGTGACCCCTGGCCTCATAATCTGGGACAAAGGTTTGCACCATTCCGCTTGCCTTTAGTTGTCATTACAAAAGGCATTGTTGATAATTTTTCATTTTATAATTATTGACATTTTTCATTCTGATTGTGCTTTTTTTTGAGACAGGGTCTCATTATGTAGTTGAGACTGACCTGGAACTCAATATGTAGCCCGGATGGGTCTCGAACTCACAGCAATCCTCCTGCCTCAGCCTCCCGAGTGCTGGGATTACAGGCGTGTGCCATCACGCCCGGTCTCTAATTATGCTTTTAATAAATATTCCCAAAAACCTTTTTTGTTTGTTTGTTTTTGTTTTGTTTTTTTGATACAGGGTCTTGTTATATGTAGTTCAGGGCTGGTCTTGAACTCTCTGTGTATCTCAGGCTCAAACTCCAACCAATCCTTCTGCCTCAGCCTCCTGAGGGCTGAAATTACAGGCTTGTGCCACCACACCTGACATTTCTTGACTTTTTTTTTTGTACCAGGAATAGAACTTGGGACCTTGCATTTGCGAGGCAGGCAGTGGTACCACTGAGCTAAATCCCTGGCCCCATTTCTTTACTTTTACCAAGTTGGTTTACTTTGAGTTTTTGTCCTTTGAAAGTTTTGGTTCTTGAGAAAAAAGAAATCATCCTTTATAGTACTCCCAAGCCATGCATGATGGCACTCACCTAATAATCCCAGCACTGTAGGTGGCTGAGGCAGGCAGATTGCAAGTTTGGGCCCAGTTTAGGAGACCCTTATCTCAGAATAAAAAAATTTTTTTCCTTTCTTTTTTTTTAAATTTAAAATTTTTATTTTTCTGTACCGGAGATCAAACTCGGGTACAGTAGAACCACTGAGCTAAATCCCAGCTGTCAGAATAAAAATATTAAGAAAGGTTGGGAATGAAGTTCAGTGCAGAGGCCATGGGTTCAATCCTCAGTAATTGAAAAAAAAAAAAAAATTCCGGATGTAAAAGGCAAGAATCTTATCTTTTATTTATATAATAATAAGATATAGGTCTTATTCACTTCACCTAGAGGGGTATGGATATGTGGATAATCAAAAATTTAGATTTTGCTTTCACAAGGCTTTTGTGTTTAATTTTCATTTTAAATATGCTTGATCTAGGTGCTTACTGCACAATAAAAGTTTAATTTTTCTATGTTAAACTGTAAACCTGATTGAAGGGCACACATGTACTGAATGGGTACTGCTCATCCCTTTTTTGTATGCATTTTATATGAACTGTAATTTTCCTAATATGTTGTTCTAACTGGCAAAAGTTTTTGTTCAGTTCTTTTCTGTAGCTGGATTTTGAGTTATTTAATTTCAAAGAGTGTTTGTTCTCTGATGAAACTTAAGCTTCACCCAAAGATACAGCAGTCAGTGTAACACTTAGATACTACTTATTCAAAGCTGTGATTATAGAAATAATGAAAATAAGATTTTCATACACCTCTGTGAAAATATGTAACTCATTATTTAACTGTCATTTCCAGCTTGCATTTTAAATGTATTGGGCCCTGATACTTCAGAGTATTACAGTGTACTTCAGAGTTAAGTGAATTCTTGCATAACTTTTTTATTTTAAGGCTTTTTATTTACTACTGATGTCTGTTTTTCAGCCGTAGTTGTGACATGATGGAACTAAGGCGCCGTTATCAGAATTTATACATACCTAGTGACTTTTTTGATGCTCAGTTTACGTGGGTGGATGCTTTCCCTTTGTCAAGACCATTTCAGCTGGGAAATTACTGCAATTTCTATGTAATGCACAGAGAAGTAGAGTCCTTAGAAAAAAACATGGCTGTTCTTGATCCTCCAGATGCTGACCACTTATATAGTGCAAAGGTTTGTATTTCACTGTGATATACAGCTTGCATTTCTTAAGAGTTGTTCAAATAAGATAAGTAGATGTACTCCTTAGAAAGTGGTGATGAGATAATAGACCTGAATGTATCTGTTTTCTTGTCTGTTTTTGTTTTGGCTATTTAATTTAACCTCTCTATCTCACCTCAAAAGCAGTCAAATAATGGCTATTGTTTTAATATCTTAAATTTCATAAAAACATGAAGTTAATATTATTGAATGTTATATGGCTTCCTGTAGCCTCAGATAGAACTTTCATGTTGGGAGAGGGATACACTAAATGTTAGTATTTAGGATAACATTCATTGTATGCCTTACAGTCAGTAGTTTTCAAACATTGATTCAAAAATCATCCCTTGGAAAGTTAAAAGTTTATAGGGTATCTAATAGTTTTATTTCCGTAGGACTTAACATTCCACTTTTATTTAAAACACCTGATATTAATATGTAAAGTTAATTAGTAGTACTTCTCATTTTCTTTACATTACTTTAGACTTTTGACAGGATTGAATTATTTGACTATAATAGGTAATGCTGATGGCTAGCCCTAGCATGGAAGATTTGTATCATAAGTCATGTGCTCTTGCTGAAGACCCACAAGAACTTCGGGATGGATTTCAACACCCTGCTAGACTTGTTAAGGTAAAATGAAATGTTTGTTTTAACTTTAGATGTATATTCATTTAGTTTTCACTGTGTACATAAAGGTTTAAAATAACATTTTTAATCTTATTGATTCATTTAATAATTTTAGTGTTAATATATTCACAATCTAATAATGTAGATGTTTTTCTCATTGCAGATTATCGCTATATCTTATTTGCATATAACTTATTTAACTGTCAATTTGATGTGTTAAATTTGTAGCATGGTAAAAACATTAGTGATAATGGGATTTAGCATGTCTGGATGCTGTTGAAGTTTGAATTATAGTTTATTTCTTTAAAAGAACTCTTATCTGAAGAAATACTTTAGAGGGATGAGTTATGATGTGTAAATCCTATTCCATTGCTGAAATGCAGTGTGGAACACGATGAACTGAACTCTTCCTTGACTGACAGATACGAGAGGTAGTAAAAATGGTACTGGAAAGGTTTGTACCTTTCCCTTTCAAGAGTTTATTTGTAATTTAACCAGTTACATGATATATGGAAATGATTCTTTGTTTTGAATTAGTTTTTAGTGGGCATGAAAGGCAAGGATGAAGCCATGGCCATTGGAGGCCACTGGTCTCCTTCGTTGGATGGACCAGATCCAGAAAAAGACCCCTCTGTGTTGATTAAGACTGCTATTCGTTGTTGTAAGGCTCTGACAGGCATTGATCTAAGTGTATGCACACAATGGTAAGTACCAATTTGTTTTTTGTTTAGAAATGTTTTTCTGATAGAATATGTAGCTATTCTTGTCAATCAGCCTTTTCCCCTTACTTTATTAACCCTGGTTGTTCAGGTAATCTCAAAGGAAATCCCTATTTGTAGCAAAAGTTTATTTGGTGCCCAAATTGTTTTGGGGGAAAAAAAAATAAAGAACTAATCAAAAATAAATTGAAAACTTAAATGTATCGTTATGCTGTACTTTGGAACTTGGATGTATGTTGAAAATACTTTTCATTTCATGTATAGCTGGAGAAGATCGTCAAGAGAGAACTTCATTTCATTATAAATCTTTTGTTATAAAATGATATAGTTGCTGATTATTTTTGTTCAGCCATATTTTCTCTTGAGGCTTATTTGTCCTGTGCATTTTAGTATACAGTATTTCTTGTGACTTAATGGAGAATATTCTTTTTTAGCACATGAAATCTGAACAGCTATCCAGCTTCTCCAGGTATTCTCTAAAACATGGGTAGCTCTGTAATCAAACTTGATGCCTTGTGGGAACATATTCCTTTAACCAATAAAATATTCTACAAATGTACCAAAAGAGGAACTATGGCTTCTATAATTTTTTTTCTTTAGACCAACCTCAAGTTCTTGCAGCAAAATTTCTTTACTTGATGTGCTACAAGTGAACTAGGATCTTTTAAATGTATTTAGAATTTTTTTTCCAACATGCTTCTTCCCTTGCAACAGGTACCGTTTTGCAGAGATTCGCTACCATCGCCCTGAGGAGACCCACAAGGGGCGTACAGTTCCAGCTCATGTGGAGACAGTGGTTTTATTTTTCCCGGATGTTTGGCATTGCCTTCCCACCCGCTCAGAGTGGGAAACCCTCTCCCGAGGATACAAGCAGCAGCTGGTGGAGAAGCTTCAGGGTGAACGCAAGGAGGCTGATGGAGAACAGGCACTGAACGCTAATCCCTTTTCTATTCCCGCTTCTCACAGGCACAGGAACACAGGCACAATGCACACCACACACTACACAGCACACACACGGAGGAGCATAGCTGCTCACAGCGACTGGTAACCAGCTTTCAGCAGAGTAGTTGTATGTTCTTCTCTCTTAAAAAGCCTGTCTATTATGCTGACTTTAAGAGTGCTGAGACCTCAAAGGAAAATAAGGTGTGCTTAAATTGCACAGAACTTTGTTTTTACCATAGGTCTAGTTGCTGGAATCTGGGACCAGTTGTTGAACAAGATTCAGTATTAAGCCATTGAAACATTTTGCCATTTTCTCAAATTTAAAAAATTTTCTCTTTCACGATCATCAGTTCTAGTCATGGATATTTGAAATTGGACAACCACAAGTCTGAGAGATTGGAAATTTCAGGCTATGTGGCAGCGTCTTTGGTACATTTCAAAGGTCTGACTAAGTCAGTCTTGGGGTTGCTTGAAAATTGGGGCAAGATCACACACTGTGTGGTTAGTGGAGACCGGCAGTGTTTGTGCATCCCTGATATCCTTTGTGTTGTAATTTATGACCCTTTTGTGTTTCACAGATCTGGCTTTGATTGGCTGATGAGTGTCTTTGTGATCAGTTAAAAGTGGTAGAATGTATGTCCGTGAACTTGCCTAAATAATAACTTTAGGAGAAGACAATCTGAAACATTTGTGACCTTGCACAGATCAGCAACAGACTTTTAAAAATAAATTACTTTTAATTTAAGGTTTCAGAATAGTAATTATGCTCTTAACTTTGTATATTAGGATGAAGAAGAGAAGGATGATGGTGAAGCTAAAGAAATTTCTACACCTACCCATTGGTCTAAACTGGATCCAAAGACAATGAAGGTAAATTTGAACATTATGAACATTATCATTTTTCATTTGAAGTGTATGAACAGGTATGAATAGCATTGATGAGAGTGAGAGCCATAGTTTTTCTAATAAAAATCAGTGGAGGGGCCAGGGATTTAGCTCAGTAGTTCCACTGCCTGCCTTGTAAGCACAAGATCCCGAGTTTAATCCCTGGCACTGAAAAAAAAAAAATCAGTGGAGGTGGGCTGGGAGTAGAGTTCAGTGGTAGAGTGCTTGTTCAGCATGTACAAAGCCCTGTATTCAAATCTTGAACAATGTTAAAAAAAACTTCAAGGTGCAGTCCACTGATTTTATACATTCTATTTTCTCTTGTTTTGCTTTTTGTTTAGTGTTACCACGGATAGAATTGAGGTCCTTTGTACCAAGCTACATTCTTTTGTATTTATTTGGAGGGGGAGCTGTACCAGGGACCGAACTCAGGTCCTTGTACTTGTGAGTCAGGCAGCGGGACCACTGATCTAAATCCCTGGCCCTACATTCATTTTGTTGTTGTTGGGTTTTTTTTTGTTGTTGTTTTGTTTTGTTTTGTTTTGTGGTACTGGGGATCGAACTCGGGCCCTTGCTGCTTGTGAGGCAGGTGCCGGAACAAATGAGCTAAATCCCCGGCCCCTGCATTCATTTTTTAAAAATTAATTTTATTGGTGCATTTACGGTACACAGTGTAATGACATTCATCATTGGAAATTTGCACCTTTACATACTCCATCTTGATTTTTTCCCCATCCAATCTACATTCATAGTTCTTCTTAATGTTTATTTTGAAATGGGTCTCTTGAGATGGATTACGTGTGTGTGTGTGTGTGTGTGTGTGTGTGTGTTTAAATTAAATGGTGTCTATAAATCATTTCAACCAGTAGCTGTCAAATGCCTGTGATATAGACATGACTATAGTGACAGTAACATTGTTTTATGGTTTGGAAACTGTCCTGGAAGTCGGTGCTTAAGTAATTTAAATTCAGGGAGGAAAAGATACATGAAAAGTAATCTAGTTGGGTGTGCTAATACGAACCTAAAATCCCAGCATTTAGCAAACTGAGGCAGGAGGATCGTCCCAGTCTGAGGCCCACCTGTGCTAGAGTTCAAGGCCAGCCTGAGCTACCTAGTGAGGCTCTGTCTCAAAACACAACAGTAATAACAAAGAAAGAAAAAAATTGCTTTTAAAAATACAGTTAGAAGTAAATAAATCTAAACTAGGACAGAAATAACTTTAAATTTTTCTTTTGAAATTTTGGTTAATCCATACTAGTTTTTCTTGATAGTGCCTCTGGGCCAGTTATCTTATTGCAGTTTTGCATCTCTGGGCCTATAATGTAACTTTAGATACGGGGTCAGAAGACCAGAGGCAAAGCTGGGTGTGATGGTATTATATACCCGTAAATGCAGCACTTGTAGGCAGGAGGATCATGAGTTTAAAGCCCACCCAGGCAAGCTACAGTAGTGAGCCACAGCTTTTTAAGATAGGGTAGGGTGTCTCTGTGTAGTCCAGGCCAGCCTTGAACTCACTATATAGCCCATGCTAGCCTTGAAATTGTGGGGATCCTCCTGCCTCAGGGGTGCTGGAATTCTAGGATTGAACCACCATACCCAGCAGTTTATTAAACACTTAAAAATTTGAGCTTTTGGTAGCTCGGTGGCATTGTGCCTGCCTAGGAAGCACAAGGTCCTGAGTTTGATTCTCGGTACCACAAAAAAAACTTTTTTTTAACCTTTTAGTTAACTTTTCTTTTTTCATTGAGTTTATTGGTACATTTTAGGGATATAGTACCTTTTGGTTAACTTCTGTTCTGAACAGGAAACAAATTTTTCTTCTTTGTTGCAACCTTTTTTTTTTTCTGGGTGAGACAATCTCACTATGTTGCCCAGGTTGGTCTTAAACTCATGGGCTCAAGTGGTCCTTTGAACTCACATCCCAAATCACTGAAACTATATATAGTCCTTGCCACCACACCTAGCTAGTTGAACCTTTGATTCCTTTTGTTTTGTCTTTTCTTGTATTTTTTGCTATGTAGCCTAGGCTACCCTCCAACTCACTGCAGTCCTGTCTCAGTCTCTCAGTGCTGGGATCATAGGTGTGGGCAGACTACCCAGCTGAACCTTTGACTCTTAAAACTATATTTCTGCTGGGTGTAGTGGCCCATACCTATAATCCCAGTGATTGGGAGGTTGAACCAGAAGGATCACCAGGAGTTCAAGGCCTGCTAGGACTATGTAGTGAGACCCTTTCTAGGGAAAAAAAAGAACAAAACTATATTTCTTTTGGGGGTTGCCAGGGATCGAACTTGAAACCTTGAGCTTGCAAGGTGGGCATTGGTACCACTGAGCTAAATCCCTGTCCCTCCCACTTTGCTTTTAATAAGTAGAGAATGTGTAGAAAAAAGAGCATTTCTTGGGGTTGGGGATTTAGCCCAGTGGTTCCGCTGCCTACCTCGGAAGTGCAAGGACCCAAATTCAATCCCCGATACCAATAAATAAATAAATAAGTTTTTTAAAATAAGAAGAGCATTTCTTCTTACTACATTACTTCCAAGTTGCCAGTATCAGGTTTCATTTAGTATACTTTTGATTCAGAAAATACAGGCTTTGATGAATGCATCAGGTAGCCCAGGCTGGCCTCAAACTCCAAGCAATCCTTCTGCCTTGGCCTCCGAAGTGCTGGAATTGCATGCATGCACCACCATGCCTGGCTGCCATTTGAAAAATTTTTTTGGTTATATCATACCTGCTTATTTTTTAAATGGCCTATGCAGAAAAATAGTTACTCAAGCTGTGAATCAAAAATGGTCACTTGGGCCAGGGGTTTAGCTCAGTGATTCCGCTGCCTGCCTCGCAAGCACAAAGGCCCAAGTTCAATCCCTGGTACCAAAAAAAAAAATGGTCACTTGAAATTGTGATATAATTTCTTCTTTCATTTTTTCCTCTTTTTTTTTTTTCTTCTTTTTTCTTCGTACCAGGGATCAAACTCACAACCTTGGGCTCATGATCATGAGGCCAGCACGGTGGCACTGAGCTAAATCTCTGGCCCTTTTTTCTCATATTGAACTGAGAGACAGTCTCACTAAATTGTCTAGGTGGGCTTGCACTTCAGATCCGTCTGCCTCACCTTTGCTCATTGTTGGGGTTACAGACACTCAGCTCCTTCCTTCCTTTCTTCTTTTTTTTCCTTCCTTCTTTTCTTTTCTTTTTTTTCTTTCTTTCCCAGGGATTGAACTCAGGACCTTGCACTTGTGAGGCACCACTGAGCTCCCTCCGTTTTCTTTTTTTACTGGGTATAAACTAATTGGCTGATTGACTCTAATGTTGTATACAAAAACTGGCATCTTGTCCTTTTCAGTTAACCATTACTTTCAATTCTATATTATATCATCTAGTTTACTAATTTTTCTTAGATACTGGACTTTGCTGAACATTCAGATTCTATACTTTTTTTGTAGGGAATGTTTCATAAATCTATTTTTCCATTTTTCTGTGTGCAGGATCTTTCTTTTAAGTGGATTCTCAGAAATTAGGTTGTAGGTCAGGGTCTAGAGATGCAGGGGTGTGTATCTATGGTAGATAGTTTGCCTACAATGGTTTATGCCATGAGTACTATTGCTGCCAGCACCATTTTTTAAAAATTGGGTAAGCTGGGTGTGATGGTGCGCGCCAGTAATCCCAGTACTTGGGAGGCTGAGACAGGAGGATCTCTGTGAGTTTAAGACCACCCTGGGGTAGATAGTGAGTTCCAGGTCAGTGTCAACTACATAGTGAGACCCTGTCTCAAAAAAAAGAGTAAAAAAAGTGATTGACTTCCAAAAATGTTCTGTTATTTTCCATTTTTACATGTATTGAATGAGCTGTACAAGTTTCTTTATACCCCATTTTTTTAAAGTCAGGTAAGAGATCATTATAGTTTGTTTATATGCCCCTTTTTTTTCTATTTTTATGTTTTCATATTTTAGGTAAACGATCTACGAAAAGAGTTAGAAAGTCGAGCTCTTAGTTCGAAAGGATTAAAATCCCAGTTAATTGCTCGCTTGACAAAACAGCTTAAAGTAGAAGAACAAAAAGAAGAACAGAAGGAATTAGAGAAATCTGAGAAAGAAGAGGAAGAGGAGGATGATAGGAAATCTGAAGATGATAAAGAGGTGTGTATTCAACATTGAAATGCCCTGTAAAGGTATTGATATTGGTATGAAGGGGATTCTTAGAATTTGACTTTTGTATAATTTTATGCAATAATTTACATACAATAAAACCTAAAGTATAACTGATAATTCTGCAAGTTTGATAAGTGTGTTTAAATAAATGGTTAACCACTTACACAACCCAGATATAAAACAGTTCTGTGTAAAGTACTCAGATTGAGTTCTACTGAAGTGGTTTTTCCTGAATTTTTGTATTTTCCTAAATTGCCTAGCCGGGTTGGAATTTGAGATCTCCCTACTTCAGCCTCTGAGAGTGCTGGAATTATAGGCATGTGCCACCATGCCCATCTAACTTCTTTTTTTTCTTTTTGGAGACAGGGTCTTGCTTTATAATTCAGGCTAGCCCTGAACTCACTATGCATCCCAGGCTGGCCTCAAACTCAAGCAGTCTTCTTGCCTCTGCCTCCCCAGTGCTGGTATTACAGTGCTACCCCTATTTTCTTTTTTTTTTTTTTTTTTTTTTTTTTTTTTTTTTTTTTTTTTCTTGTCAAATTTATTAGTACATTTTAGGTATACATTACAGTTACATTCATCATTGGGATCTTGTACCTTTACATGATGTGTTTTGCTTCTTATTTTTTCCCCATTCCCCTGCCCTTCCTCCACCCTTCCCTATTTATAATGACTTTGTTTCCATTTTTTCCTTTTCTCATTTTTTTTCTGTTCCCTTTCTTTCCTTTCCCCTATTCCTCCCATTTCCCCTATTCTTTAGACCTTTTCTTCCTATTTCACATTGTCAGACATTTTGATCCTTATTTTACACTTTTAGATTTTCATACCACGAAAACTATTTGATATTTTACATGTGTATCCTATTTATTTCACTTAAGTATGGCCTCAATGTCCGTCCATTTTGCTATAAATGTCTGTAGTTTCTTGTTCTTTATGGCTGAGTAGTACTATATTTTATTTTTAAAAAACACATCTTTATCTAGTCTCCAATTGATGGGCATTTGGGCTGTTTCCAAGTTTTATCTATTACAAACTGTGCCACTGTAAACATGGGTGTGCATATATCGCTGTGGTATGGTTCTTTTAATTCTTTTGGGAAAATAGCCAGCAGGGGAATAGCTGGATCAAATGGGACTTCCAATCCTAGTTCTTTTGGGTGTCTCCATACTGATTTCCACATTGGTTGCATCAATCTGCACTCCCATCAGCAGAGGAATAGGTCCTTTTTTTCCCCACAGGCCCCGTCAGCATTTGTTATTGGTTGATTTCTTGATAGCAGCCATTCTTTCTGGGGTGAGGTGGAATTTCAGTGTTGTTTTCATCTGCATCTCTCAAATGACTGGTGCTGAACATTTTTTCATGTTTATTTGCTGCTTTCACTTCTTTGTCTTATCTGAGAAATGTCTGTTCCATTTCAGTTGCCCATTTTTGAATTGGGTCTTTATATTTTGGGGTAACTTTCTCTATTTAATGTGAGGTTTTAGAAAAATTTAAAAACTGCAAGCATCTCCATTTCCTCAGAATCTTTTATTTTGAGGCAAAATCTGGCTAAGTTGCCCAGGCTGGCCTCAAACTTGTGATCCTTTTCCCTCAGGCTCCCCAGTAGCTGGGATTACAAATCTTTGCCACCATGCCAAAGAGAAAGGAAGCTTCTTTTGCTCAGAAATCCAAAAGAAAGACAATTAAGAGCTGAGCCTATTGTATCTGCAATCCCAGGATAATCACCTGAGCCTCAGGAGCCAACCTGTGGAACGTAGATCTATCTTTAAAAGAAGACGAAAAGGAAAATAACATCAAAGAAAAGTGTTTATTAAAAAGAAAAAGAATTGGGAGTCATAAAATCTACCATACTTAATAAAAATTTGTGATGTAATCCCAGCACTTGGGAGGCTGAGGCAGGAGGATCACTGTGAGTTCGAGACCAGCCTGGGCTACATAGTGAATTCCAGGTCAGGCTCAACTACATGGTGAGACCCTGTCTCAAAAAACCAAAAAAAAAAAAAAAATTAAAAAAAAAAAAATAATAATAAAAAAGTTGTGAGAACTTTGCCTTCTTTCTTTATATAGCATAAAGTTTTGCTGTATTATGCATGGAAGTTCACCCATGACCTAAAATTTTTTATGTATAGGAAGAAGAGAGGAAACGCCAAGAGGAAATGGAGCGCCAGCGTAGGGAAAGAAGATACATTTTGCCTGATGAACCAGCCATCATTGTGCATCCAAATTGGGCTGCAAAAAGTGGCAAATTTGATTGTAGCATCATGTCTTTGAGTGTCCTTTTGGATTACAGATTAGAGGATAATAAAGAACATTCATTTGAGGTAATGATTTAAGTTTGAATTAGGATATAAAATCTACACATTGTTAGTGAATGTATCACAGATCTTTTTTGCTCTTTGCTCTCATGTTTTTCTCAAAACTATTGAAAGCATCACGTGTAATTAAATTACCTATAGACTTGCTTTTTCAGTTTCATTCTAATGGTGTAATCATGTCCTCTATCCTTTATCTCCTGTAAATTGATATGTAGCTCTAACTTCTTAATCAAGTTCAGGTTCAGTTCTGTTTTTCCTAAGGCTGTTTCATGAAAGGTGGTGGATATCAGGAATTACATAATAAATCTAGTGTCTCTCTAGAGGGTGAGGTAATGCTTTATTATTTTCTCTAGAATTAGAATGCCATTTAATGGAACTGAACATTTTACTTATGATTGGATGAGTTATAAGAGAAAATAGATGATGTTAATATTTTCAACAAGCATGGATTTTTTTATTTTTTAGAGCATTTTTGTAACACGTAAAAGTTATGTTTAGGTTGTATAAATAATTGAGACTTAATTCCTAATTAATTGCTTCATTCTTTAAGATAAAAAAAATTAAGTAATTTTTAGTACTCCATACAAAATCTTAATTTTCTGTATCTAACATTATGATTGTGTTCTGTTACTGAATATTTTCAACATATCTCACTTCTTTTTCGCAGTACTTGGGCTCAAACCCAAGGACACTATCACTGAGCTACATCCCCAATCCTTTTTATTTTTTATATTTTTGAAATGGTCTTCCTAGGTTGACTAGGCTATCCTCAAACTCACAATCCTCCTGTTTCTGCCTCCCAAATGGCTGGAGTAGCGAAGTATGGTGGTACACACCTGTAATCCCAACACTCAGGAGGCTGAGACAGGAAAATTGCTCCTAATTTGAGGTCAGCCTGGGCTGCACAGAGAGTTCAAGGCCAGCCTGCACTACCTAGTGAGACCCTGTCTCAAAGACAAAAAACAAACCAAATGGCTAGAGTAACCAGAGTTACAGGTTTGTGTTTACCATGACTGTCTCCTCACATTTTTTAAATCTTTTAAATCATATAAGAAAAATCAGTCACGTTTCTTTGATCCTGGAGTCCATTGTCTACCAATTAGTTAGATGAATAGTAGGCTGAGGCATATAGATAACAAATTCGAAGCCAGCCTGGGCTACTTAGCCAAAACCCTGTCTCAATATGTAAAACTAAAAAAGGCCTGGGGCTGTAACTCAGTGGTGAAGCTCTTGTCTATGATGCACAAATCTTTGTGTTCAGTCATCACTACAGAGAAGTGCATGTTTATTCATCTTGATATAAAACAGGTTATAAATATTTAGCTATTCTGAATTTTTAATTAATCCCAGTAAAGTGTCTTTAAACACTACTTTATTATTTTGCCTTTTTTGTAACAGTTGACATAGTTAGCTCCTAGTAGTACCTACCATGTAATGTATAGTCTTTCACGATGGATAGTTTTTGGTGTTACTTTCTGCTTATAAGTGTGTAAATTGCTTATCTAATACCACTTATCTAGCTAATACCACTCTGAAAACAATGCACTTTTTGAAACTGCCCTTTTCTGGCAAAATGATAAGTTTTTTCCTCCCCACTAACATATTGCTTTGATTAGTTTAGGTTTGTTTGGTGGTGTTTTCCTGTGCTGGGAATTAAACTCAGATCCTTCATTTGAGCTATGTCCCCAGCCTTTTTTATTTTTTTATCTTGAGGCAGGCTTTCCCTAACTCACTAAATTGTCCACATGGGGCTCAGACTTGTGATCTTCTTGTCTCTCCCTCCCAGAGTTTTGAGACTAAGGAATGCACCATCATTTTTAGGCAGTTTTATTTTAATTTAGCATTTGAATACAAGTCACTTCGGCACATGAATTCAAAACAAATCATTTTTTATTTAATAAAAAATTTACAGGAGAATAACAGTTAATAAACTATCTTCAGAGTAGAGTAGAAGACAAATCATTCAGTAATTAAGATAATCATAAAATTTAACTTTTCTCATTTAATACTGATAATACTTGTATCTCAAATTTTCGGTACATGTAAGTGGAAAGATCTAGATTCTGCTCTTTTAGTTATCATTTTGGGCTTCTTTCAGTTGAACATTATTGCTTTCAGTCTCTAGGTTTTAGAAAAGAGGCAACTAAAGGAACAGTGTCTACACAATTGGGAATTTAGTTTACATAAATGGTTAAGAGAATGGAATTTGCAGCGTCTTAAAGTTTTACTAACAATAAATTCTTTTAAAAGTAGTATTGGCCATGAACTGAAGAAAATAATTATAAAATTATAATTACAATAAATTGCAGGGCCAGGGATTTAGCTCAGTGGTTCCGCTGCCTGCCTCACAAGCACAAGGACCCAAGTTCGATCCCCAGTACCAATCGGTCATTCAATCAGTCAATAAATTGCATTATCCATCCTAGTCAGGAAGATAGCCTGATCAATGTTGTACTGAGTAGTACTAAACAGATTAAACATTTTACAGCGGTGGACAACCATTTCAATTTAGGGAAACTTTTACCTAAGAATCTATATGGTAGCAGAATACCTGAGGGCTGAGGTAGGAGGATGGTTGAGGCCAGCATGGCCCACATAGGGAAATCCTGTTTTTTGGTGGGGGATGTTGAGACAGAGTCTGCCTTTATATACTTCAGGCTGGCCCTGAACTCACTATGTAGGCCAAGCAGGCCTTGAACTTGAGGTGATCCTCCTTGCCTCAGTCTTCCAAGTGCTGGGATTACAGGAAAGCGCCAACATGACCAGTTTGGGAAGTCCTGTCTTCAAAACACAAAACCAAGGGCCGGGGATTTAGCTCAGTTCAGCTGCCTGCCTCACAAGCGTAACGGTCCTGAGTTCGATCCCTGGTACCAAAACAAAACAAAACCAACAGAAACCTTTTGAAAGCAACATATTTTGGCATGAGAAATATTTACATAGAAAATTTAGTGTATCATTTCGCATTCACAGATTTGCTATAGCTCATTATGGGTCACTGCATAGTTATTTTAATGCATACTCTGTACTCAGGGCTTTGAACTGTTTTCTGTTCTTGAAATGTTACTTTTGTAGATATCGGTATGGCTCTTCTCTGCTGCCTTTTGGTCATTTTTCAAATCTTTGTTGTTGCTGCTGCTGCTGCTGTTGTTGTTGTTGTTGTTGTTGTTGTTTTGGTACTGGGGATCAAACTTGGGACCTTGTGCTTGTGAGGCAGGATGCTGAGCTAAATCCCCAGCCCCACATTTCAAATCTTAGCTGATCCAGGAGACTTGTTTGACTTCCATGTTAATTAATTCTGTTTGTGCTTGTTCTTCTATGCTGATTGGGTTATTCTTCTTTCCACTAGATTTGTGAGTTGCATGAGAGGAAGGTTTTTGTTTATTGTTTGTTTGTGTGTGTATATTTATTTGGATTTTTGAGACAGGGTCTCACTGTATAGTTCAGGTTGGCCTTGAACTCACTATGTAGACTTCGCTGGCCTGGAATTTGCAGCAATCCTCCTGCCTTAGCCTCCTGGGGTTATAGGTATGTGCCACCATGCTTGGCCTAAACACGTTTTCAATAAAAAACCTATTTTACTAGGAATTGTTATAGGCACTAGGGATACAATAATGAAAAAGAACTGGTTCATCCAAGCATGGTGGCACACACCTGTAATCCCAGCACTTAGGAGGTCAAGGCAAGAGATTGCTGCAAGTTCAAGGCCAGCCTAAGCTACAGAGTGAGTGCAAAGTCATTCTGAACTACCTAGCGAGACCCTATCTTAAAAAGGAAAAAAATAAAACAAAAACTTTTTGAGTCAGTGAATAAAGCGCATTTATTGTAAAAATTACTGATTTTGTTTGGAAGGTACAGAAATCTTTTTGTACTTATTTCTAAATTTTCTGTTGTGGAGCCATTATTTTTTGTTTTGACCAAATTGTGTCTTCAAAATACTCTGAGGAGTTTGAGTATTTCAGCATTGTTGACATCAATTATAACTGTGATTAAAATACATTAAAATTATTAGATTTGGTGAATTTCTATCTGATTAGTTATCAATGCTAGATTTATCCAATTATTTCTCTTGAATTTGTCTGAGTTAAATGTTTGTTTCTTTTTATAGGTTTCATTGTTTGCAGAACTTTTCAATGAAATGCTTCAAAGAGATTTTGGTGTGAGAATATACAAATCTTTACTGTCTCTTCCTGAGAAAGAGGACAAAAAAGAAAAAGATAAAAAAAGCAAAAAAGATGAGAGAAAAGATAAGAAAGAGGAAAGAGATGATGATACTGATGAACCAAAACCCAAACGGAGAAAATCAGGAGATGATAAAGATAAGAAAGAAGATAAAGATGAAAGGAAGGTCTGTAGTTATTAGTATGATGGCAACATCATTTCTATATTTTGTTTTACAGTATCCAAATGATATTTCCAACAGAATAGTAAATTATAAAGACCAACCTGAATTGAAGTTTTATTCACTGCTAGAAATTTGTCCCCCTTTTTTGAGGGGGAAGCAGAGGCGGGAAGATTGCCACAAGTTGGAGGCCAGCCTGGCCTACATAGGGAAAGCCCTATCTGAAAAAAATACCTGGGGATGTAGCTTAGCGGTTCCTGCCTGCCTGTCATGTGCAAGGTCCTGAGTTTGTTTGTTTTATTTTTGGTATCAGGGATTGAACTCAGGACCTTGTGCTTCCAAGGCAGGCAGTGACACCACCGAGCAAAATCCCTGGACTGTAAAGGTTCTGAGTTTGATCCCCAGTACCAAAAAAATGTTCATGGTTAAATTAAGCCTTAATAACGTATTGAGTGTGTTGCTGTTAGAAGAAGTGCAAGGTCCTGAGTTTGTTTGTTTTATTTTTGGTATCAGGGATTGAACTCAGGACCTTGTGCTTCCAAGGCAGGCAGTGACACCACCGAGCAAAATCCCTGGACTGTAAAGGTTCTGAGTTTGATCCCCAGTACCAAAAAAATGTTCATGGTTAAATTAAGCCTTAATAACGTATTGAGTGTGTTGCTGTTAGAAGAAAAATAATTTTCCCAGTTTAGTGAGATACCTTTTGTCATTTTAAGTTACAGAAAGAAGATAAAAGAAAAGATGATTCTAAAGATGATGATGAAACTGAAGAAGATAATAATCAAGATGAGTATGACCCAATGGAAGCAGAGGAAGCTGAGGATGATGAGGATGGTATGACTCAAATTTGCATAATAATCCCTAGCATTGAGGAAAATAGTTTTGCTTTGTGCATATATTTCATTATGTATAATAGAAACTTTTAAATTATGCTTAAGTAAAAGTTATGTAGTAGTCATTTTATTAATTTTTATGTGAGATGGTTGGTTTTCACACTTTTTTTGTTTTGTTTTGGCCCCGGGAATTGAACTCGGGCCCTTGCGCTTGCAAAGTAGTCACAGAACCACTGAGCCAAATCCCCGGCCTTTTATTATTATTGTATGTCCCTAATATAATTAATAAACCAACTTGATAAAAATAATTCCCTTAAGTGTGCTTCATCTGTGTCAGAAAACATGTAATAAGTCAGGCATGGTAGTCCATGCCTGTAATCCCAACACTAGGGAGGCTCAGCTAGGATTGCTTCAAGTTCAAGGCCAGTCTGAGCTACATAATGATACTATTTCAAAAAAGAAAAGGCCAGGGATTTAGCTCATTGGTTCTGCTGCCTGCCTCACAAGCACAAGGTCCTGAGTTCAATCCTCTGTACTGAACAAACAAATAAAAAAGAGAAAGAGAAGAGGTGTAATAGTCTCTAGTGCTTTATAGAATAGTGTATGCATTTATTGAATTTATGTGTTGGTGCTAGGGAATCAAACCCAGGGCTTCCTGCATACTGCACACATACTGTACCACTGAGCTGCACCCTCAAACTCAGGCACTTTATGGCTTTTCTTTTTTTGCAGTAGAGCTTTCTGTTAGTCTGCTGTTTGTTTCTGTGTGCATTCTATTTTTATTTTTTGGTACCAGGGATCAATCAGACTCTTGATTGTTGCACTTTTGAGGCAGGTGGGGGAACCACTGAGCTAAATCCCCAGGCCCTCTGTGTGTGTTCTAGACATTCCATATAAACGGAGTCAAACAATTTGCAGGCCTTTTGTTACTGGCTTTCTTCAGTTACCATGTTAACAAATTCATAGATGTTTTAGTATTTTATTTTAAGTTGTTTCGTGTGTTTTAACTTTTCAAATACAATGTACCTCCTAATGTCATACTCCCAAAATGTCCAAAGCTGCTCTCAAGCTTAATAAAATATATTAGGACAAGGGCTAGGGATTTAGCTCAGTGGTTCCGCCGCCTACCTCAAAAGTGCAAGGACCCGAGTTTGATCCCCCCCAAAAAAATACATATATAGACAAAAATTTTATTTAAGCTGCCAGATATCATTGGGCAAGCCTCTAATCACAGTACTTGGGAGGCAGAGGCAGGAGAATCATTTGGTTCCAGGCCTGCCTGAGCTATATAGTAAGACCCTGTCTCAAAAAACCAAAAATTTGTTTTTGTTTGTTTGTTTGTTAAGCAAAGATTGGCTTGTTTAGCTGCTAATGTATATTGTGGGTGTCCAGGAAGGGATTACAAGTGTGAAGTATTTAAGAAGATGAAAAGCTTTTCGTATCTCAAAAGCTGTTGCTGTCTGGATCCACTTAGAGCTTATTTGCTTTCCTTTTTCTGTTTATGTTTCTGAGGATTGAATCCAGGGCCTCCTTACTAAGGTATTTCTGCCCCTTTTTTATTTTGAGATAGAATTTCCCTAAGTGTTGAGTTCCTCGCACTGAACCCAAATTGTTTGTCCTCCTTCCTCAGCCTCTCTCATAGCTGAGATTATTGGCATGTGCCACTACCTATTCTTTGTAATTTCTTCTGTTTTTTTAATTTTTGTAATTCTTTTGTGTAACATTCAAAGTTGGTTGTTGTTTTTTGTGTTTTTGTTTTTTTGTAAGGGTTTTTTGGTGGTGCTCAGTAAATTTCACACTGAACTACATTCCCAGCCCCTTTTAAATTTAGACAGTATCTTACCAAGTTGCCATGTTGTCCAGGCTGGACTTGAACTTGCAGTTCTCCTGCTTCAACATCCCAGAATACAAGGATCATAGCCATGTCCAACCCAAAACTATTTTTATTCATATATTTATTATTTATTTATTTAAAACTCGGGACCTTGCGCTTTCAAGGCAGGCAGTGGACCACTGAGCTAAATCCCTGGCCTTTTTTTTTTTTAATAGAGTAGTTTTGATTTCTACAAAAGTTAACAATATTTGTATTTAAAAATGTTTTGCCCTGCCAGACATGGTGGTACATGCCTGTAATTCCAGCATCTGGGAGGCTAAGGCAGGAAAATTGCCTCAAGTTTGAGGTCACCCTGTATCATAGAGCGAGACCCTGTCTCCAAACCCCCCCCCAAAATTTTTTTTTGTACTATAACACCTATTTTACAGATCGGGATGAAGAAGAAATGAACAAAAGAGATGACAAAAGAGATATCAATAGATACTGTAAGGAGAAGCCATCTAAAGATAAGGTATTTACTGAATACTGTACCCTTTATAATGTGATTTTCATATTTTAAATAATTAATTTATTTTTAAACCTAAAGTAATCATAAAGTTTAGTAGTCTTTGTATGTCTCTATATTATCAGTAAACAAATTTCACTCAACTGTTCTTTGGTATTTGAGGCAATGTCAGATAACCAATGTGTCTGATTTTTTTTTCTTCCATATTTATATACAAAGTCAATTTGTTTTAGTTACGATAAAGTAAATAGCATTTTTAAACTACTGCTTTTATATGGACATTGTTTTTCAATGGTAAAAAATATATATTCTATATCTTCTGTATTTCCTTTAGGAAAAAGAAAAGACTCAGATGATCACAATTAATAGGGATCTCTTAATGGCCTTTGTTTATTTTGATCAAAGCCATTGTGGTTACCTTCTTGAAAAAGATTTGGAAGAAATACTCTATACTCTTGGACTGCATCTTTCTCGAGCTCAGGTAGGCTGTTTTGTAAATTTAAAATGATTGCAGCATTTAGTAACCTTTCCTTGTCCTCACAGTGGGATTGAACCCCAAGGGTTTGCATATGCTATGCAGGTGCTGTACTGAGTGACAGCTCCAGTTCTTCATCTTTCTTTTTAATCCCCCTTGACTTTGACTTTGTGATGTATAGAAGCAAGCCATCCAGGCTAATTGTTAAACAGTCATACAATACTTGTTAGAGCAATGTGTAAGATAAAAACGTTAGAAGTTGCTTCTCCCTCTCGCTCTAGTTCTGCTTCTCAGAATTAAAATAAAACCTTTTAAATCTTTTTGTAAGCAATAGTCTCCATCTTTCAGAGGGGCAATACTGCTGATCCCATGCAGGGCCTTCCCACTAAGCTACATTCCCAGCCCTTTTCAAATTTTAAGACAGGGTCTCACTAAGTGGTCCAGGCTGGACTCAAACTTGTAATCCTCCCTCCTTGCCCTTCCAGAATGCTTAGATTACAGATGTGTCACAGCACACCTGGCTAATAGTTCCTTGTTTATAAAACATGAAATTGTCCCATCCCCCCACCCCCACCCTCGTACTGGGAATGGAACTCAGGACCTTGTACTTGTGAGGCAGATGGGACACCACTGAGCTAAATCCCTGGCCTCTAGTCCCTTTTTTATTTATATTAAATCTAGACATTTTGTCATGACAGTGCAGACCTTTTTTTTTTTTTTTTTTAACCAGGGTTTGAACTTCAGACCTTGTGCTTGTGAAGCAGGCAGCAGAACCACTGAGCTAAATTCCTGGCCCTGCCTTACTCGTTTTGCTGAATAATGTTTTGTTGTGCCTGTGTACCATATTGACATAGCTCATCATTACTTGTGGTTTTTGTTTTTTGGAATTATAAATTATGCTATAATAAACATCCTTTTACTTTTATTTTAATGTGATTTCCCCCTCATAATTTTTTTTTTTTTTTGGTACTGGGGATTGAACTTGGGACCTACTGCTTTTGAGCCCTCATAATATTCTTAAATTTACAAAGAAGACACTTGAATAAGTGCTTTGAATAGTAAATTGATACCCAAGAAAACAGTTTCCATGGATACTTATTTTTGAAAATTACAATACCATTTTTGTGGGAGAATCAAAAAACATTTTTATCTTATTAATGTGCTTGCTTGTTTGTGTAATAGGTAAAGAAACTTCTCAATAAAGTAGTAGTCCGTGAATCTTGCTTTTATCGGAAATTAACAGATACTTCAAAAGATGAAGAAAATCATGAAGAGTCTGAATCCTTACAGGAAGATATGCTAGGTTTGAGTATATTTCATGCTTTTGGCTTTTTTATAACTATATTATTTTTTAGTTAAGAGAAATACCTTTCTAAAATGTGATATTATTTGTTGTAGGTAACAGGTTGTTACTTCCAACACTAACAGTAAAACAGGAATTAAAGGACATAGAAGAAAATGTAGGACTTATTGTGTATAATGGTGCAATGGTAGATGTAGGAAGTCTCTTGCAAAAATTGGAAAAGAGTGAAAAAGTAAGAGCTGAAGTAGAACAGAAGCTACAATTACTAGAAGAAAAAACAGGTGAGGTATACCATTGGGTAAGTTAATATTTTAAGACCCTTTTGGAGCCTAGTGTGGTGATACATGACTGCAATCCCAGCTACTTGGAAAGGATAGGAAGATGGTAAATTTAAGGACGGCCCAGGAGTTTAGCAAGAAACTGTCTCAAAAAGGACTGGAGTAGCGGGGCATGATGGCATATACCTTTAATTCCAGCACTCAGGAGGCTGAGGCAAGAGGGTCACTTTGAGTTCAAGACCAGCCTGGGCTACATAGTGAGTTCCAGGTCAATCTCAACTATACATAGTGAGACCCTGTCTCAAAAAAATCAGAAAAAGGACTGGAGTTGTAGCTTGCCTAGCATGTTTGGCCCTGGGTTCAATCCCCAGTAATACTAAAATAAATTAAAATGTTGTGTGTGTATAGGCATATCTTAAATTTTAGTCTGGACAACATGTAACTACTTTTGATGATTTCTGTTGCAAGTTATAAATGTGCTTAGCTTTATAACAAGCTTAGCTATTTATGGCATTCCCATGTTCACTTGTTATTTCATACCCTTTTAAACCTCTTCTAGTACCTCTTTTTACCAGTTTTTTGTTTGTTTTGTGTTTTGGAGACAAGGTCTCACTGTGCAGTTCAGGCTGGCCTTGAGTTCACTGTTAGCTCAGGCTGGCATTGAGCTATTATCCTCCTGCTTCAGTCTCCCAAGTGCTGGGATACAGGTGTGTGCCACCACGCCTGGTTATCAGTTTCTATTTTCTCTAGTTTATATAGTTATCTAAAAATGCAGCCTGTGGTTACCAATACAGTAATACAGCACTTAAGTCTTATATTTTAATGAAACTGTTGTGCAATGCGTCATGCTTTAGAACTACTAAAATTTATTTTTATCTGCTTTTTTCTATAGCTTTTTGTTTTTGAGGGAGGGTCTCATTATATATAAGTGGTGTTGAACTCACTGTGAAGCCCTAGTTTGCCTCAAACTCGTGAGCCTCCTGCCTCAGCTTGGTGAGGGTGATATTACAGGAGTTTGTTACTCTACCTGGCTGTAGTTTAAATGCTTTTTTTGTTGTTTTGGGGGGCCTTTTTGGTACCGGGGATGGAACTCAGGACCTTGTGCTTGTGAAGCAGGCATGGTGCCACTGAGCTAAATCCCCACCCTTGTAGCTTAAATACTTTTAATCTGAAAGTAAAGTGGAAATTTTATCTTTAACAGATGAAGATCAAAAAACAATATTAAATTTGGAAATTTCCAACAAAAACCTCTCTGGTGAACTCAGAGAAGTTAAAAAAGACCTTAGTCAGTTACAAGAAAACTTAAAGGTTTCCGAAAACATGAATTTGCAGTTTGAAAACCAACTGAATAAGACAATCAGAAACTTATCTACAGTAATGGATGAAATCCACACTGTTCTCAAAAAGGTAAGAAATTTTTACTCCTCCCCAGCCCAAGAGATATTTTACTTTAAATTTTTTTAGTTTAAATTTTAAAATGTTTCTAGTATTTTAATGTTTTTGTGCTCTTTCTTGGAGAAGCAAATAATGGTAGCATTCCCTCCTTAAAATTAGTCAAAATCATTCCCAAATGATTGCATTTGTCTAAATCTTACATGGCATGTCAACATGAATTATGTATACAGATTTCCTAAAGCAAATTTGGAGCTGGGGCTTAACTCTTTATGTGTTCAGAGTGTGGAAGCCCTTGGATGGATTGCAGCACTCTAAGCAGGAGGGGAAGGTTTTATTTTTATTTCTTTCAGAATTAGAGAGTGGAGGGACGGGGATTTAGCTCAGTGGCACCGCACCTGCTTCACGAGTGCAAACTCCTGAGTTTGATCTCCAGCAACACTGCCCCCCCCAATAAAAGGGAAATTATAGAATTGAAGAGTGGGTTTGAAATTAAGGAAGATAAAACTCTTCTTTTCTTTTATATATATGTGTATTTGCTTTTTACAGTGCTGATAATTTCTTTCTTTTAAATTCATTTATTGTTGGACAGAATTTAGGAAAACGCTTTGGCACTAAGATGATTATTTTGTTTATAACTAAAAATATTTAATAACAATCTGCTTATAAACTGTCTTGAAAGTAAAATTTAAGAGAATTAATAAAATGTAATTTTTCCTTATTTGTTGTTTTACAGGATAATATAAAAAATGAAGACAAAGATCAGAAATCCAAGGAGAATGGTTCAAGTGTATGATAAAATTCGTATAGTGATGAGGAGTAGTGTTAAATAATGTAATATATAAAAAATCATGATACAAGAATGTTTGGTGGTGATGCATGTTTTGATTTTAGTAGTATACATGTTAGTTCAAATGATGTATAAAGTTTTATGAATATGTCTGCTTTTGAAAATTGCTTGTAATTTGTAGTGTTCAAATTTATTAAACACTCCTTGAGTGAAATGATTTTGCATTGCAAAATGTTTTAGGATGAACTTTGTTATAGTTTTAACCCCAATAAAGTTCATCAGTTTAATTGGACAGTATTTAATTACCAAATGTCTTTTATTAAAATGTCTAGAAAATTTTGATTTTATGTATAGAATTAATATTAGCGTTATTTTGTAGTTCATCTTTGAATTTCTAGCATAAACCATAAAATAGTATGCTGCTCATTTTTTGCTAGTTTTTTGAAGCAGAATTTTTTTGTCACCAAAAAATTTCCTCTTAATTATCAGTCTCTGAAAACATTTATGAAAAATTCAGTTCAAGAACCTGGCGTGTTGGCACACACCTATAAATCCCACTATTTGGGAGGTAGAGACAGGAGGATCACCTTGAGTTCAAGGCCAGCCTGAACTACATCATGAGACCCTGTCTCAAAAAAAAAAAAAAAAATTCAGTTCATCCAAAAAATAGTATATCAAAAACTTAGAAAGCAATAGATAACTAGTATATGTTTGTTAGGCTTTACATACCATTAATAGTCCTAAAGTTAATGTTATTGCTTTTGTTTACGTGTTCTACTTTCCCAAAATAGCATCCATGTTACTTTTAATTTTGAAGGTTTACCAAAAAAATGCAAGGCATGTCAGATGTATAGTTTAGTAACAAGCCAGTAGATGTTAGTATGATGCCTTAAGTATTCTTTAATTGAAAATTTTTTATTAAGCTGTGTACTTCCTTCAGAATTGTAGTGGATGTTTAAAAGTTAATTTTCGCTGGGGATTTAGCTCAGTAATGTAGCTGCCTGCCTCAAAAGCATAAGGTCCTGAGTTCAATCCCCAGTACCAATAAATAAATAAACTAATTAATTAATTAATTAAGTTAATTTTCACTATTGAATGACGAAGGGAATATCATATTCTCCACAGCATTGGTTCTCAGTAGATGAATTTATCCTAGGAAGGACGTTTTGCATTATTTCAAAATGTTTTCAGGTGTATGGTTGGGTGGGTGCTGCTGGCAGTTCGTTGCTAGAGGTCTAGGATATTGCTGAATTATCTATGCTGCATAGGACAATTCCTTACAAGGAATTATTTAGCCTGAAATGCCAGTAATGGCCAGTTTGAGAAACTCTGCTCTAAAGAATACAGGATTGTCATTATCAGGTTAGTAGTGCAAACTGACTTGAATCTATAGCAGATGATTAAATTTTTAATTTAAAAAACCTAGTGGAATATTTCATTGTCATAAAAATACATACTGTTTTGGAGTTTGCTTTATTTCATTTTGTTTTACTTCAGTTTATTTTGATAAAATAATGGCCAGATATTCTAAATAGGTGAATTTGAGAATGTAAATGCCATTTTTCATGTGACTTAAACTAAATGGAATCTACATGGCTCTTACTAAGAGATAGATTAAAATACCTCCAATTCTTTCAAACCACATTTTGTCTTAAATTGATTTTTCTGTTCTTAGGGTTTATTGACCCTCCATAATTACATATTTATTGTAGTAATGTCTGTCTTTTTTTTTTCTTTTTTTTCCTTTGTATTTTGGTATGGGGGATTGAACTCGGGACCTTGAGCTTGCTTGCGGCTAAATCCCTGGCACCAATGTCTGTCTTTGAGGTGAAACATTGTAGAGTTTTTTTTTTTTTTTTTTTTTGTTACTGGGGATTGAAATCAGGACCTTGTGCTTGGGAGGCAGGTGGGGAGGGCATTGTAGAGTTTTTCAAAGTGTTTTCTCAAAGGAAAAACGGTAGTGCTGAAGCCTAAACTCATGGCCTTGTGAATGCTGAGCAAGTGCTCTACTCATAAGCTACATCCGCTCTGGTTTTTGTTTTCTGAAAGGCTCTTGATAAGATCAAATTTTCAGTCCTCCTGCCTCAGCCTTCTAAGTAGCTGTAATTGCTGGCTTGTACTACCACACCCAGTTAGAGATAAATTTTTAAATAAAAGATGGCATTAATAGTATTTCTTGGAAGAATTTTTTATTTTTGTTTTTGGAACACAGGGTCTTACAGTATAGCTCAGGTTGTCCCTGAACTAACCCTGTTTCCCAGGCCTAGTATCAAACTTGAGGTGATCCTCCTTCCTTAACCTCTTGAGTGCTGGGATTACAGGGGTGCGCCACAACGCCCAGCATGAGTATATATTTAAATGAAACAATTAGGGCTGGGAATATGGCTCAGTGATAGAACACATGTGATTCCCTGGGCTCCATCCTTAGTCAAACAGAGACCGTGTACTAAAAGCCATCTGGAAAAATTAGTTTCACCCAAGTAATTTTTGTATTTTGTGATACTGGGTATCCAGCCTATGATTGTTAACCACTGGGCTTCATCTCAGCCCTTTGTTTTTTGTTCTTTTAAACAATTATTAAATAGCTCAGGCTGAATCAAGAGGATCACAAGTCGAAGGACAGCCTGGCCAATTTAGCCAAATCTGTCTTTAAAAATGGAGGAAAGTGCTGGGCATGGTGGTGCACGCCTGTAATCCCAGAACTCAGGAGGCAGAGGCAGGAGGATTGGCTGTGAGTTCGAGACCAACCTGGGCTACAGAGTGAGTTCCAGGTCAGCCTCAACTACATAGTGGGACCCTGCCTCAAAAAAACAAACAAACAAAAAAAAGAAAGTGCTGGGGACCAGGTTCAGCACTCCCTGGTTTCTTTCCTCAGTACTGTAAAAAAAAAAAGGTAAAGACCCTGAACTGCATGAGCTAGACCATGTTGGACAGGATAGCTAATGTGCTTCCCCTATGTCCTTCATGGGCACCCTCAACTCGCAGTAACTCCACAGTTACCTGGCATACTCACAGACATGCACATTCGCGTTTGACTTGCAAAGAACATCCCATGTGAAGAACACCCTGACACTGGGCTGTTCTTTCTTCAAACCCTGAGAGTGACCAAGATACAGGATCAGATCTTTGCTTAAAAGATGGGATTTGGGCTCATGCCAGGCGTTTACTGAGGAAGAAAGACGATATTTTTACATTGTTAGCACATCCTAATACATGTTTTCAGCATCAGTAAGCTACATGAACTTGGGTAGAAGTTCAGAGACCATGGACACCATGAAAGATTCGACTCTCAGGTGTCTTTTTTAGGCTTCAGTTTAGGGGGAAATCTCAAGTGTGTTAGACCAGTAAGCCACAAAACCCTAGCCAAGATCCAATGGATGAGAACAGATTTGTGCTCTAGTGACAGTGTAATTATATTGTATTGTAGTGCAGAGTTGACCACTTCTTTATGAGAAGAAGAGCAGTGTTTCTGTAGAGAACAGGATTTTTGGAGACTTACTTTCTAATGTAGAAAGGTACTTGTATTATATTAAACAGCTTACATATTAGAATATGAGTGAAATCTTTAATTAATGTCTTCGGGGAATTTACCCATGGATAATGTCCACTAGCCATTAAAGCCCTTGGTGAAAACATAATGTTATTCAAACAGCAAATTGTAAAGATTTTGTTTTTGTTGTTTTGGGGTGGCACTGGAGATTGGATCCATGGCTCCAACCATGGTAGGTAAGTATTCTACCACCAACCTAATATTCCCAGCCCTTTTTATTTTTAGACAAAAATCTTGCTAAATTGCCAACACTGACCTCAAACTTGTTTTTCTCTGCCTTAGTGTCCTAAGTCACTGGAATTATAGGTAAAATTTTCTCTTTTGGTACTTAAATAGGTATTGTTGACAATTCCAGCAACAAGGAATTATCATTGGCGACTGGCTGGGTCCAGGCCAGTCTTCATGAATTCTCCCTGGTCCAGGTGATAAATGGCCCTTCAGAGACTTGAAGACTTACTTACCTTAGCTAGTTAAAGTACAGGTTAGGTTTTGTCAAATTACTCTAGAGGGGACTGTAGGTTTTGTTTAAGGATTTACATGGCACTTGAAGGGCTTTCAGAATATGCTGGCAGTCATAAAGGAGTCCCTCTCTTCTTCCCTTCCTCCCTTCCTTCCTTCCTTCCTTCCTTCTTCATATGACACAGCAGTCTTGCCTCATCCTCCCAAGTGTTGGGATTACAGGCATGTGCCACTGTACCTGCCCGATAGTTAATTTATTTGTTGTGTTTTTTGGGGTTTTGGTTTTGGTTTTTTTGAGAGGGTCTGACTAAGCAGTTGAGGCTGTCCTTGAACTGAGAACATTTCTGCCTCAGCTTCCTGAGTGCTGGTATTATAGGCATGTACCACCATGCCTGGCCAATTCTGTTTTCTTTGTCATGTTTCGCTCTTGGTTGGCTGGGCCCTCCAGTAGTTGGCAGATAAAATCACCTTAGGAATTGGAGGCCCAAAGTAAAAGCCATTAGCTTGTTTTCCCAAGTAACCTTCAGTACTCTTTATCAGTGACCTCCAGATTTGTAACTATAACTAATGTTCTCAAAGAGTAATGTGTTTTCTATAGGAAATTTAAGGTGGTATAAATCTGTGTGCATTGCAAAGAAATTTTGTTAATGCAAAATGCACAGATCTCTCAGGAGAGCTTCCCTACAATAGTAGCAAGTCTTACTATGGGCCTTGGAGTAACTAGTTTCTGGCTTACCATGCTTTGGATTTTGTCCTCATATTTTCTCAGTGGATATTTTAAAATTTTATGCCTAATATTTCAGCTTTAAAACTATTTGGGGGCTTGGTGGTAGAGCACACATGATTAGCTTGCACACAGCTGGAGTTTAACTTCCCCAATACCAAAAAATATATGGAATTTCTTTCTTTCTTTCTTTCTTTCTTTCTTTCTTTCTTTCTTTCTTTCTTTCTTTCTTTCTTTCTTTCTTTCTTTTTTTTCTTTCTTTTTTTTCTTTCTTTTTTTTCTTTCTTTTTTTTTTTTGGTACTGGGGATCAAACTCAAGTTGCATTTGCCAAGCAGTCGCCAGAACTACTGAGCTAAACCCCCGGCCCTGGGATTTCTTTTTTGAGACAGGGCCTCACTATTTCAGACTGGCCTTGAACTCAGTAGTCTAGGCTGGCCTTGAACTTGCAGTGATCTTCCAGCTTAAGCCTCTCAAGTGCTGAGATTACAGGCATGTGCCACCATGTGTGGCCAGAATGTATATTTTCAATATATTG